CTCGAGCCTTATAGGACCAATATTGTGCTCTGATCACACACCCATTAAACTCACACTTTGCAGGGAAAGACTTGTGGCACATTAATGACTCTTTACTATGAAAATACCTTAGTACCCCAAATTAAACAAGAAATAGACACATACTTTAACTTCAACAAAACAGTAGACATAGATACAGAAACGTTATGGCAAGCCAGTCATCAGAGGCCTATTTATAAAATACTCCAGTTATAACAAAAAAGACATGTCAGAATACAAAGATTATCAATCAACTTAACACGTATCGAAAAACAAAATTTGACACTCGACCACACAACAAATTATCATGCTCCAAACATGGTTGATAGACAGGAACTAGCTAAAACATATATACAATCTAAATTAAAACACACATTTTTTCAAAAACGTTAATAGAGCTGAAAGCTTTTTACACTTCCAACTTAAAGCTCACAGCACATTGTCAAAAAACTGCTTTTATACACTCGAAAGACAGCCATAAGATAAAAAAAAAAATCAGGACAGATGAATTTGCACAATATTACTGGTAACTATACAATCTAAACATAGACCAAGACACACACATTTCTGAGCGACGTAAACTTACCAAAACTATCCGCAGAGGTGGTCCAACCATTCACACTGCCTGAAATATTGCAAACTATCCAACTACCAAAACAGAAATCTCCAGGACATGATGGCTTCATGAACCTTTACTATCAGACATTCAAAAATAGTCTCACACCACATGACAGAATTATTCAAAAAAAGGTAATATGCCTAAATAAATGCTTCAGGCACACATAGCCTCACTACCTAAACCAGGTAATCTCCCAACCCAGTTTTAGACCAATTACCCTACTAAACTGATACTAAACTCTACACCAAACATATTGCCAATAGACTATTTAGAATACTACCACACATGATTCATAACAACCAATCAGGTTTTGTCAAAGGATGAGAAGGTTCAGATAACACAAGGAAAATAGTTCTTATCTCACACATAACAACTAACAATTTATAAGGCCTTCTATTGGCTCTTGATGCCAAGAAGGCCTTTGATAGGCTCAACTGGACATACATGAAAACAGTTCTAAAGAAATAAAAATTCCCATCAGACTTCATCAAATGAGTCATGGCCCTGTACTGTAATCCATCAGCTCAAGTGTCACATGCAGGATTTTTATCTAACCCTTCACATTGACCAACTGCACAAGACAGGGATACTCCCTGTTTCCACTCCTCTTTATCCTATTGTTAGAACCCAATGCCTATAAAATTAGACACAACCCACTAATCACAGGAATGTACATCAAGGATACAAATTACTAACTGTTTATGTTCACTGACAAATTCTTACAATCATTGAGTAACCCTTCAGTACCATAATTCATATCCCTCTTAGACGAATACAGTAAAAATATCCTGCTACAAACTCATCAAAACAAAAACTCAAGCATTACCAATTAATATATCAACTCGACAAACCCAATTACACCAATTTGACTGGAGAACTCAATATATCACATACCTAGGAGTGAAACTATCACCACCTACTCTCTGAACTCTGATCTCTGAACTACACACCACTAATCCACACCTGCACATCTTAAAGTGGAAAAATGTTCCCCTATCGTGGCTATGTAGACTCAACACAACCAAAATGGTAATACTCACAAAAATTCTATATTTTTGTAGAATGTTATCTCTACAAGTTCCCACTTCTCGGATTAAGAATATACAAATCACATTACACAAATTTGTACGGGGCCACCTTAATCCATGCCTCCCAAATGCTCCTCCACATTCTCTCCCCTACATGGAATAAGGGGAAAAGGAAGGTGTAAATCGCCTCACATCTGGACAATGGTTGCAATCAAATATTGAAGCCCACAAAAAGTTAGTGTATCGTTGGTACCTCACCCCATATCCACAAAACAAAATATATCTAAATGTTACCCCCCTCTGTTGGAGATGTGGGATACACATGGGCAATATGACACATATGCCAGGAGTGCTGAGACATGAAACCCTTATTGGAAAATGTACAATCAATGCTTTGTAAACTAAAAATAATAGACTGCCCACTTACACCTTCCATAGGTTTGCTATTACTGTTTCCAGACTCATGCCTATAGAGTCAAAAATGATTGCAGCTATTATACTTGTAGCCAGGAACATCCTGGCGCTTAATTGGAAGCACACCTATTGCCCCTCTAAAGCAGAGCTTATTGGGAAAAAAAATACTAATACTATTAATATGAAAAATTATCCATAGAATCACATACAAAAGCAAAAAAAAAAAACTGGAGAGCACTTGGGAACCTTGGCTTGACCTCAACTACAAGTGGGCCTCACAGAGCAGATTATAATCTATCCTATGTTTTTTCATTATGTAATGTCATGTTAATGGATGCTCCTGTATTTAGATATGTTGTTTCTGAAACCTTATACCTAATGGAGAGACCCTTGTTATATCCCACACTACTGAGCTAATAACATCTATATGCTTAACTCGAGTTGATCACACAGATGACCACTGACACTATCTGCCCATAGCCAACATGTTATGGAGGATGTTACCCTTACTTATGACATGGTAGAGCTACATGACAATGTCAGTATATTTATATCGGCAGACATCTTGTGTTAAGACAGAAATTAAAAGTGTATACTGCCAGTTACTCTCAGAACAGAGATGACTCCATTTTGTATTACAAGGCTAAGACAGGCACAATATTTCTATTTCTGTAACTCTAGTCATTCAAGTCTGAGCTATGGAATGCGGTTTCACACAAGAAACCCAGACATCAAATGACAGATAACACTAAGTAATTATTACTTTCTAAGAAAGGGTGAAATTAAGGTTAGGAGGTGTCAACTCTAAAATTATGACATCAAATTGCAGACGCTCTGTCTGGTATAAGAGTGAACCAATGCTTTCTAGTGACATGTCTGTGATGAATATGGGCCATAAAAGAGATAAGGAAATTATGTAAAAAGTATCACCAATTTCAGTTAACCCATTATACAAAAAGGCAAATTGACCCCCTGACATGAATTTTTGGAGATGCCACCTACTGACCAAAATCTAGATGATAGTCTGTAGGGAAGACACACCTACAGTTCCCTATTGGTCCTATCAACTAGTGACATGCAGAGAGTTTCCCCCTTTAAAAGTAAGGACAAAGGAAAGAGAGGGAGATTTAAACACTCTGGAGATTCGGGCTCTTTGAAACATATTCTGATTCTCAAACTCTCAAACTCTCTGGGACTTACACATTCTGACTCTTGGACACTTTCAAACACTCTCTTGAACACACATAATTCTTACTATTACCTTTTCCAACTAATACAACCCTATTACCATACTTGCATTCAAAATTCCTGAAATATATCTACACATCTGATAGAAAATCTACAACATAACTGGTAATTATGCTTGTTTTATTTAATTTAATTAATACATGGCTGTGATTGGCCAGTGCAGCATGTGACCCAACCCCTATATATAAGCTGGAGTCATGTAGCGACGCACGCACATGTGGTCTTATTAGTGTAGGGAGAAGATGCTGCCGCTGATAGGGACAGCTTAGGAAAGAATTCTGCAAACTAGTACATTAGTGGGGTGGGGTGCACTTCATATCTGAGAGTCAAATAGAAGCTTCAAATACCGCAGTACATCAGAGTTTTAAAAAGTAATTTTTATTTTGGTGCTAAATAGTACATTAGAGGGATAGTACATTAGTGGGGTGCACTTCATATCTGAGAGTCAAACAGAATCGTCAAATACTGCTGTCACATTGCAGTTTTAAAACTTAAAATGTTTTGGGTGCTAAAAAGTACACTAGGGGGTGCACTTCATATCTTAGAGTCAAATAAAAGCATCTAATACTGCGGTTACAGCGCACTTGTAAACATTCTAATTGTTTTGCTGCTAATCTGCTGCTTACATTGTTTTAAAAAGTAAATTTTTTTATTTTATTTTTTTGGCGCTAAATAGTATATTTGGGGTGTTCACTTCATATCATAGAGTCAAATTGAAGCTTAACTTTGATTCAAATTTACTTCATCGGTCACTTGTAATATTGTTTCACACCTACAACACTTGTTACACAGAGAAGTGATAGAAAACAGATTGATATTTTCTACACTAGAAACTACCAGATAACAAGCTGCTATATTTAAACCAGTGATCAATAGCTAAGAGGTACTTCAACGATATTGTAATTCTGGGGCAATACCCTCACAAGTCAAACCGAGAGGTCAGTTTATAGAGAAAACTGTTGCCTGGAGGAAATTCTAAAACAATTTCCGTATGTCCTTTGCAGACTTTACATGCTGGAAAAACACAGGTGCCAACTGCTGTGGCTTTCTGCAGTGTGCATACCGGCAAGGAGGGCAGGGTTGAGGAGTGGGTGGAAGATGATGTGGAGGATGATGAGGTCCTAGACCCCACATGGAATCAAGGTCATGCGAGTGACGTGTGCAGTTTGGAGGAAGAGGCACAGAGGCACCAGCAAAGCATAAGAGGGAGCAGGGTGCAAAAGCTGAGTGGCCGTCCCCTAGTGCTCGTCGGCATGTATTAGCTTGAGAATTACCAGTTATCCAAGTAATACATGTAGCGATCAAAGGATCCAGAATAGACTTGGTTCGTACCAGATTTAACGATCTATTCGTAGTTTTACAATGGAGGTGGGCAGTCCAGTGACCAGGACCCAGACACTGTCAGGATGTAACATTTACTGTAGCGGCTGTGCACGCTTTTGGCGTTGTTACCCAGCTGCTGCTCGCCTGTCTGCGCTGCAGCGTAACTTCGGCCTTCCCACTCACCGCCTCATGAGACTTTGCAAGCAGCAGCAGGGGATAGTGGAGTTTCAGCTGCAGTATGCATGGGTCAGTGGCTCTGCACCAGGCTTCCCTCCACTTGATCAGAGTTAAAGGATTTCAAGTGGACTCATTATAATTATAGGGCCTCTAAAGAGTCCTGTATTGTTATTTGTCGTCACTACCTTCCTGCGTCGGGAGTGGGTCATTTGCATGTCTGCTGCCTTCCTTGCATGTGGTAGCCATTTCTCAGGGTCCCTGTACGGAATGGAATCCTGACTCCCCGTGGTATGCCCAGAAACTTGCATCGAAAGTTGATATGGATGACATCTGCATGCAAAGTCGCCACCACGGGGATGTTCGATATGTCCGAGGTACCCTAGAGTTCCTGCGCAACTATAATATCAACAGCTACTCTACGGAACAGAGTTGTCTTTTTTTATATGTCCCAATATTTTGGGGGCTACCACAATAAAAAAAAAAAATTAAAAAAAATTATATATACACACACACACACACACACACACACACACACACACACACACACAATGTTGGTTGTCACGGTCACCGCCTCCTCAACCTATGGGTCACTAAGTATAAACTAGGTACACATTAGCAGAGGCTTGAGAAGGCCTTTTCTCCATGCATCAGGAGTTGAGCTCAGTTTGAACAATGAAAGAGAATACCCTGCACTCCAACCCTCTCTCAAATGGATAATTCTATTGATCCTCCTGACAGCTATGCTGTAGATTTTGATTTATGTTCTTCCAAAGCTAAAATCAAATTATTTCCATCTAGTGCTATTTTATGGCTCAGCTGTATTTTTAATTTGTATGTTATTTTAAGTGATTTCCCTATCCACATTTGTATGCAGGTCACTTGTCCTACTCTTACCCCCATTTTACTCCCTTTTGCAGCTCTCTAACCTTTCCAGGAGTTTTTTTAGAGGCGTTTTTGTGTCCAAAAGTTCGGGTCGCCATTGACTTCAATGGGGTTCGGGGTCAAGTTCGAGCCCGAACCCGGACTTTTTTTTCAAAGTTCAGCCGAACACGCCGGACACAAACATCCAGGTGTCCACTCAACTCTACCTATTATAAATCTTATTAAATTGTTGACAACTGGTTGCTGTTAGTTGTTATATCATGTTGAAACTATTGCCATATTGTATAATTATGTTATACCTAAATATTCACTGATTATTATCACGCATGTTACATATATTATTTTATTATGGTCACAATAAAATTATATTTTTAAAATTCACTTGTGATTACTGTGTGAAGCAAAAATCTTCTAGTGAAACTTCATCTAGGATCTAAGAGAATTAATATCATGAGTAATTCTCAGCTTTATATTATTAATTGGGGAACAGTGCCAAGATATAAATAAATTAATTTGATAATTTTTATCAAAATATTTTTAGTATTTATAACCCCATAAATATCCTCACAACAGGCATATATGCCCTACAAACTGATTGTGCTTACACACCAATTTGACATGTGGGTATTAATCACACATTGTTTTTAATGATACCAGTTACCCCCTCCCTAATAGGTATTTTTATTGTCTATAAAACTCAAACTACAGAAATAAAAAGGAAAAGCTACCTCTGAATCAAAATTAGATGCAACTGAACAAGAATACCTGTAGCAGACTAAGAGGTAGAACTCAATGTCATCCCCCTCTTCTACATTATATGTGATGCAAAGACCATAGGGCTTATAAGCCAGAGTTGGACTCCCTCCCACACCATTTTCTATGCCCCAGCATCCATTCAAACATCTGTAGTAGACTCTGTTACGGACCGCCTTGCACCCCGACCTGGTACCTCAGTCTGTCGCTACTTCCTAGTACTTGCAAGCACCATAATTACTGCACTGGAACACCATAACCAACGTAGACCACACAAACCACCATAACCACCTGATAGCCACGATCTGGGTAAACAATATATCCAAAAATCGCCCAGATCAGTTCAGGAATTTCCTGGAAGTCTTATTTTTGCCCCACCATGCACATGGTCCCATGCCCAAAACAGTTCCATACACTCAACGACAAAACACTGCTGGACAATTAAAGATGGCCGCCGCCACATGTTTGAATTTGTTCCAGTTAAAAGTCTAAGGGGCAGAAACAGTACTTTTAAGCATGGGCTATCACAGGGCCCATAGTACCAGGGTAGGAAGCTGGCAAGCAGGCCCCTTCAAAAACTCATGGCAAACTCCCTTAAAAAGGGGAGTTTGTCACAGACTCATTCCCTTTTGTTCAGTTGTCCGTACACCCTTGTTCATTTCCCAAATGGATGGTGTGTTGTCCCCTTTTATACCTCCACGAACACTGACCATCCTTGGCTGTTAACTGCAATTAACACAATAACTCAAGTGCTTTCCGTGGGTGGCCACCATTCGTATATCCGAACACGTGTTCCAGATCCGTGTACATGGTCGTCAAATGCCTGGAACTATTTTCAGCCATGCAATCTCACAAACATGGGCAAAGGTTGTACCGCTGTCCGTTCAACTTCCCGAATGACGTTCAGGAGATAGAAACTACTGACTTGGGGGAACATTCGCTCCGTAAAAGCCAGGGGTGCGTCCGTTGGTGTTCGCACAGGAACCTCTAAAGTAAGACCGGCCGTTGCCCTCAGTGCTCTGGAACAGTTTTGGGCCATTGCCTACTGGTCGGTCAGAACTTTACCCAAATGGTGATACCATTCTACCAAAATGGATCTGAGTGCTTTTTGGATATGTTGTGCATTATATGTGGGCTATTCGAGGATATAAAACATGAATATGTTTTTGGGGTGTTATGTTTCCTGTAATTGAGAGATAATTGAGTTACTCAGTTTTGACTCAATTATCTCTTACACAATGGGTCACCTGGGAGGGGCTTGTGAATATTTTGTATGTAGACCCCATGCTGAGGTCTGTGCATATAAGGCTGTGTTTGTTCTGAATAAACCAATTGTACTCCCATAACTGTGTGTCGTCCAGTTACTGTGGAGGTATAGAGCTACTTGGAGTCCCCCAAAGCTCTGTCCTTGATCCCCTTCTATTTTCTCTTTATGCTGCCTCTCTTGGCAAACTTACCTTATTTTGATTTCACTATCACCTGTACACTGATGACACGCAGGTATATCTCTCCTCCCCAAGCCTCTCCCCTGCCATCCTGCAACATGTAACTGCTTGCCTTTCTTCCTTCTCTGACTGGATGTCCTCCCACTTTCTGAAACTAAATCTGTAAAACTGAGCTCCTTGTCTTTCCCCCTCTTAATATCGACCCTCCTCTTTCACTCTTCCTTCAAGTTAGTAGTATCCACATCAGTCCATCCTTGCAAGCGTGCTGTCTTGGCGTCATACTTGATTCTAGTCTTACCTTTGAGCCTCCCATCCAGCATGTTACCAAATCCTATAGATCCCTCCTTTCTTACACAAGAGGCTACTAAGGAGCTTGTTCATGCTCTAGTAATTTCATGCATGGATTATTGTAACCCTCTCCTTATTGGTGTTTCCAAAAAACGTATTGCCCCGCAACAGTCTGTAATGAATGCTGTGGCCAGACTGATTCTCCTCTCTAGTCTCAAACCTCACCCCTCTGTCAGTCCTTACATTGGCTTCCTGTATCCTATAGGAGTTAATTCAATGTGCTAACCCATACCTATAAAGTATTGACCAATTCTAGTCCCCCTTATATCTCTTCACAGATCTATATGTATGCCCCTTCTCAGTCTCTCCGCTCTGCCTGTGACTGTCTCTTGTCCGCTGCTGGCACCTGTAGCTGAGATTTTATAGTAATACTAGATTTATGCTACTGTTGTTTTAAATCCAATATAAAATATCTAGTGTTTCCAAGGGTGCCACACAAAATGATGTGTTGGCTTAAGTAAGTCATAGGCACACGTGCCACATCTGCAGGTTAAATATCAAGATAAGTGCTCTCTTAAATGTCCTTCTACATATACATGTAGTCAGAAGAAAAAGGTGGTCCAGGCAATCCATCAATTTAAGCACTTCATTGTTATTGGACATCAACAGACATTGCAATATTTCTGCCCACAACAGGGGTCTTTGTCAAGCTTGACAAAGGCCCTGATGTGAGCCAAAACATTGCAATGCTAATCAAATTCCTTTGATTAATGTATCATCAGTAACGTTTCAGCCCTGTTGTGGGCTGGAATGTTGTAAAGCCAATCAAATACCCTTCATTGGTTTATTATCAGCAAACGTGACCACATCTATAAAAGCCAAAGTTTTTGCAGTTTGCTGGTCTAGAGCATTTATTCTTAGAGAAGCAATTGCTGCTGCTCATCAGACTAGTAAGGGTTATAAGGCAATTTCCAAACACTTACAGTCCATCATTCTACAGTGATAAAAATTATTCAAAAGTGGAAAGAATTCAAGACAGTTGGCAATAATTCCAGGAGTAGACATTTGATCTACTTCACCCCAAGGTCAGACCTTGAAATACTCAGAGAAATTGGAAGAAAAACAAAAGAGTTACGGGGTGGGGCTTGAACATCATGGCGGTTTGTCACAACTAGCAGGAGCTCCTCACAGAACTCTCAATTTCTGTAGTTTCATGCGAGACACACATAACTCACAACTGAAATTGACAGTGTCTTACCTGCTATAAATGCCAACCTGAAAGACTCGGCCCGGTCTCCACAGGTGCTGGATAACCCCTATCCGACTTAGCTGCTGAGAGAACACTGGGTGAGAGAAATGGCCAATCTCCCACGGCTCATCACTCTCTCACAGTGACCAACAGTGCCTTGTTACCCCCCCCCCCTGGACCGGCAGGGGTTATCCTGGTCCCCAGTGGGTTGCTTTGCTTACTGCGGCAGTCATCAGGCAACTGATCCTGATTGGGACCACACTGCAGCTGACTCCCCCAATATGGCTGACACGCTCATACCACATAAGCATGAGCTGACTTCAATTGGGACCCAGCATGGCGCAGCTGAACACATAATAAAATGTTCTGGAACAGCACTTTGAGTGCTTCTAGGCAAAACCTGAGGCTCACATCGTGACTGCATCACCTCAGAGTCGAAAGAAAGAACCAGGTGACAGAGGAGCAGAGGTGAGAGGGCCTTCTCTGGGCAAAGCATCTCAGCAATCTCATGTGTTTCCCAACACTGGCCTGCCTAGGCTGAGGGCTGTTAGGGACGTAGTCCCAGTGCATCAACCATGCAGATGGAAGACCTACCACTGCAGGCGGTGATGGACCACCACAATTACTCTGTAGAGATGGACTTGGACTCCAATGCGAGAAACAGAGTCTTTGGTTCCCTGATGCTGGCCTTCATCATGGCCTGGGGCAAGAGAGGCCTTGCTACACTCTGCGGCAACCTTCCAGCATTCCCGATCCTGGGCATCGGCTGATGCTGGACTTGATCCCACAGGCA